TAAGAGGAATTTATTATTTAATATATTTTCTACCTAAAATAAATTATAAATAAATACATTTAGATTGCTTCTACCTAAATTCAATAAAATTTTGAGAATCTTGTTTAATATAAATATCTGAAAGGTTAATTTTGAGTATCGTATGAAATTATTTTGATATAAAANTAAGAAGAATTTATTATTTAATATATTTTCTACCTAAAATAAATTATAAATAAATACATTTAGATTGCTTCTACCTAAATTCAATAAAATTTTGAGAATCTTGTTTAATATAAATATCTGAAAGGTTAATTTTGAGTATCGTATGAAATTATTTTGATATAAAATGCCTAGATTAACATTAAATAAGATTTCTGTATACTAATTTAACTACTCCGTCGAGCTGCAATTAGTACAAAATATGAATATAATAGGGAACTTGTATAGTTATCCTTCTCTTATGCTACATATTTGTTGTAGTTACATAAAAAGTAGGATGTTTTCTAAACGAACGTGACATTGATATGAAGATTGTGTGTGTGTGCTACAAGAAGAAGATGATAAATTCATATCCTGCATCCGTTACAAAGACATAATACATTCAGCTTTCCGATCACACAATTGCATGTTCATTACCAATGTAAGAGCGTTTTACAAACTCTTGGAAATTGTTTCTCAGCGCATTTTGGTAGAATATAAGTACGCTAAAAGGTCTTGTGGAAAACATACCCTGTGAGGCTTGATTTGTAAGGGTATATCAGGAAGTTACAGTTAAAATAGTTGCAACCAAACCAAGGGTTGCACCAGTCATCAGAAGACTCCTCCATATAGCTCCGCTAATCTCTTCTGCCACAGGATATTCTATACACAGCTGATCCTAAGGAAAAATATAAATATCAGATACAGAAGAATTATAACAAAATATAGATAAGAGACGATTAATCATCCTATAATATCTCTATACAGATTACATCGGTATCGAAGCTAACAATGGAATGGTAAAACAATCCATCGATCGTGACAATGTTTACACGAACGATATAATCCACTAGCAAAATGTAATAACAAACGAATAAACATATAAATTGCCAGTTCTATAAGCAACACGAGTAATGTCATAAGTAACGTTAAACAGTGTCACAGATTATACATACCCATCCTCCGTATCCTTTAATAAAATGTGCAACTTTCTCGCTAATGAATCTGGAGACGAACAGCGGTAATTTTTTCTTCAGGTTGTGCATTCGCCTGTCGCGGGCCCACAGTGCAAGCCTTCCCATAAACGCGTACAAGCAGACGATTCTCGGCCATGTAACGCCGCCGTGCAAAAACAGCTCATCCGCGACTCCCATGAACGCCTCGTACGCCGTGTCCGGCATAACATTCAAACGGTTCACCATGCTCGCGAATAAGATACTATGTTTGTTCAGCATCTGATACACATTGTGTCTCATGCTACGTGACACGGGGTCTCGCGATATAAGATAAATATCTTCCTTGAGCAGATATCGTATCACGTCGTTGGCCAAACATTCCGCTGTCAGTTCGATGGAGTCCTCGCAGAGGCTGTACCGCTGTGAGGACGAAACTAATTGCGGGAAAAGATGCTGCAGTCGGATCTGAAAGAACAGAAACAAAACAAAAAAATAGGTCAACCCTTGTAACACTGCTGGAAATAAAAATCCGTCGAAATAAATGCAAAAGAGAAAGCGTGGTAGTAATTGAACGATTAACGGTGCTTCGTTCTCATTTGCTTCGAACACCGAATAGCTTGACACACGATAATGGTCCCGATCGCTGTTCAATCGGGATCCGCGGTACCGGCGTTCGAGATCCAAAACCCGAACGAAAGTATAATTTTGAAATCGGTTCGGGTCTATCGATCTTCTCATCGGAAAGAGCGGCTGGAGAGCTTTCACGTGAGCGCGACGAGGAGAGAGTGAGAGGCGGTGAAACGCGCGCAAAGGAGATACCAAGCGGTAAGGTTGAAGCAAGAGAGAGAAAGAGAGGAGAACACAGAGGGATTCATTGACAGCCAGAGCCAGCAGAGATTAAAGCACGTAACACCGGCGATCCCGGTTATTACCTGGCAAACCTCGATGAAAGACATAGCGGTATTGGCGGTGCCGATAGCATATCGGCACAGGCCGCCGTTGTCGTCGGCAATTACGGCGGTCCCAACGGCTTCGGCGGTGTTGTTACAATCGTCGTTGGCAATCACAGTTTCACCGCTTCCGTCGTCGTGCTCGTTGCAGGCTCGCTCGCTCGGCGAATTCCTGTTACCGGGGGGATCGCATTCCAGGATGCCGCCCACTCTGGAATGCGGTTCCCCCCGCGCTGACGCACCCTGCCCCTCTCCGTCCGCACCGAGGATCTCATTGTTCGGTGGTGCACCGTCGTCGCCGGCCATCCTCGTGTACCGCCGCCCGCACTGGTCTCTCTTCCCAGCCACTGACACCGACTGCACTGCCGGCTAGATAATTCCTCCCTGTTCGGTCCAAGCCTCGATAGTTTACTCAAAACATCGCAACCGTGGTGTTCGAGTCTCCCTGGTCCGGTGAATCGCACGCCCGAAGCGCCGGGTTAACGAGCGCTGCACTCGAAAAACTTTTGGCTCGCCTGCCTGCCTGCCCTGCCGGACGACGTAACGCTCTCTACTTTCCCGCGGCCATTTCCGAAGCCGAACCTCTACCCGCACCCCACCGCTCTGCCCGGCCGTATCCCTACCATCTCTTTGATGTTTCCCACCGTTCCACTACCATCCCGTTCCCTTCCGTCGGTACATTACTCTCCATAGACCAACACATGCTACCGTAGACGATCCACACAGGGACACAGCTTCTATGGATCATTCACGTTTCCTCCCCACCACCGTGCACCAGCGTATCCCGGCACGCGGTCTACACCATCGCACAGTGTACGCCGCAACACCATACGAACTCGCCCGGCTACACCTACACAGCTTCTCTTACCTGGCTGAACTATCTCCTTTAGTTTTTCTCTTTCTTCAACGTCTCTCGGTTCTCTTTCCTCCTTTCTCTCTCTCTCTCTCTTTCTCGCTTCGCTCTCCGAGGCGCCGTCGATAACCTTCCCCTCTCACTTCCCTGATAGGCCGCTCTTGCGCACGTGCACGGCCACAGCCACGAATACCTGTGTGCGCTCTGAGAATCGAACGAACGGAATTTTCGATGGAACGCAGGAGTTCGTTCGGGATCGCGGTTTCCCAGGATGTATGATCGTCGATAGGTTATTCGTACGTACTTTGTCCCCTTCTTAAGTGGAGTACAGTGATGTTTCCCTTGGTCTTCTTTTTGTTTCCTTGATATAACGAAAATTTAACGGTCCGTGTAACGTATTTTCGAAATACAAAATGTATGTTGATTTGTAGCCGGCTGTCATTGACCGCTTTATTTTGATTATGCGCTGACAAGTTAACCTTGCTTTCGTAGAAGTCAAGAGGACATGGAGGTAATTGTTTACGTTTGCACTGCTTTTTTCTATTTTGAGAAATGACCTACGATATCTTGATGGCAGTAGGTTATTATAATAATTAGCAGCGATATCTTGATCATTAAGTACATTGTTGTACTTGTACATTGTTGTACTTGTACATTGTTGTACATTGTACATTGTGTTAAGTACGTTGTTGTATTTTTTAGGATTGGAATGACCCGATTCAGATCATTCGCAGATTTAACTCGAGATTCTAGCACCCGTTGACATAACCTTGGCGTTTTTAGTCGAAAATAATAAAAACTAGAGTGCTTTCTCGATCTCCTATTGACTCCTCGTTTTAGTGATAAATCGACGTGACCGGTGACCGACGATATAAAATTGAGGAAATTATATTCGCGTATACAAATAAATTTTAGACAATTTATATAATAAATTTTATTCAATATTACTTATTACGAAAACGAATTTTAATGAGTATTATTAAAGCACGGTATTTGCAGGTTTTACAGACTGTCATCACGCGAGCTGAACGGAAAGGAATGCGAAATTTAGAAAAACCTCTAAAGTAATAATTAATCGCCGAAACGGAAATCTGATTGGTCGGCGAACGTCTCTCGAAATTGCTCTTCGAAATTGTCCATTAGCCTGTAAATGGTATCGAAAAACTCTGGAGTTTCTTTCTAGTTGTTATTACGCAACGCCGATTAGTGGTCCCTTCCAGGAGGGTTTTTAATTCGAAAGTGGTTCAGCGATAGCAAGAAGTTGTAACGCTCGGTGCGGCTGTGTCTGTGTGCTTGGTGAAAGCACGTCACGGTTGCTGACCCAAAGGTGACGTAGAGGGACTGTCGGAGATGACGATAGTGTTCCAGTCATTGGTAGTTTCCCATTTCATTGATGCCGTACTCCCTATCATTACGACTTCCTGTTACACGGTCACGTGATCTCGCATTTCTTATATGTATATTATCTTATTGCATTCCAGACACACGATTGTAATCGCGTTCCTGGACAAGGATTCGAGCCCGCGAGCCAAAAAAGTATTATACGTATCTCAGTTTTGGCACGCAGTAAATTTGATCGACAACCGTTATCGTGAACCGTTGTCGAAAAGGTAGATAAGTTATTAATTTTTTTTTTTATTAACGCCGAGCAACGTTTGGATTGTGGGAAGAGCCGGAGATAAAAAGGCATGGGAAGCTCACGAGCAAAGCGTTCGCGGCTCGTGCGTTCACATGGAGCGAATACGAATCCCGTTCGCGATACCATAGAATGCAGTGGTACACCAGCGATGTATTTCCAAGAAGGAATTATTATGTTGAAACTGGTCGGCGTGCACGCCGGCTGACTCTGATCGCCGGCGCGCGACCGTGCCTGCTCCTTTCTGCCTGTGCAACCTTCAAAGGCCACAGAATGCGTCGATGAATGAAGTAGGAAAGTTGCAGAGTGTCCGCTGACCGGATATGTATACTAGGTAGGTAAGAAAACGAGAGCTCCGACGTCATTCGACGTTGAACCAGTTTTAACGACCTCTCCCGCTAATAGGACACCGTCAGACACAGTGCTGGCAATTATGTCTGTTGCTTTTATTCAAACGGAAGGGTCATTTTAGTTTCTTATAGGAAGAGATTATTACCAGCATTAACGCGTTCAGTGCCGCGTTCACCGTCGATGTTGCTGCTTTTTTGGAACCCCATCGTTGCGGACGCGGTGGAGCGTATAAAAGCCATAGGATTCTTGCAAGAAATCGGCAAAAATAATCAATTCACGATTGCCACAAGATTGACGCTTCAAGTCCACCCTTTTGCAAATTAAAGCAATAGCTATCCTATAATATGAACATTTACAAATAACACAATTATCTTTCTGTCAATGTTTTTTTATTGAAACATTTTTTAGCCTTCGCACTAGTTGAAAACGAAAATAACTATTGGGTCAGCCTGTAACCGCTGAAATATTTAAATGATTACAAAATTCAAAAACAGGGTCATCTTTCTCTCTCTGTGTACAATGAAGTAAAATTGATACAATTTCGTTATTTATTAAGTGGATAGTTTCTAGACCGACCACAGCATATGGACATTTAATTTACCTGGAATTGTTACAGGAAATGTAAATGTGTGATTTGTGGTGAACTTGATTTGCAAAAGGGTGAAGTTGATTTGCAAAACATTCTATTATCATAAAGTAGAGATTCGTCATTTAATGTTCACCGAGTATTCGTGGGACAATAAGAGTGTCAAGACATTATGTTTCTTCGTTGCAGTCGCACGGCGAAGTTCCAGGGAAGCAGAAGCTGCGGACGCAGCGTTTAACGACACTACTCGTTACTCGAGGCAGTTTACCTTTCTATACCAAACGTGGATAAAACCATGGCGCGTGAGACGTTAAAGTCTGGCAGCCGGACATGGATAAATTGACAATGTGACTCACGTGTAAATGACATCTAATTGGGTCATTATCTCGCAAGTCGCTTCTTAAACTGGCCAGAGACGCAATAAGAAGGAAGGCTCCGCGGATAGCGACGTGAAACGCCTAGCTACAACTAATTCCTTGATAGACAAGCGTTAAGAAAAATTCAAACAACGCGACCGTATCGCATTCTAGCATTCCGCACGACTGTCATTAAAGCGGAGGAGACACCCGCTCAACCCCGTAATGGTAACCTTCGTCCTCGGAGCATAAATTGGCACGTTAGGATATTTTTGAAGACCTTGTAAAAATTGACCGAAATACCTCTAATTCTATGATCCAACACTAAACCTATTAACGCCGGTCAGATAATTGGTTTCATATTATTTATTTTGCAACTACTAAAATGATCAGGGTGCTTTCATGGCAAATAATTACATTACCGTATGACCATATAAAAATATTCAGAGCAAGTTAGGATAACTTGATATTTGCAACTATCATTTGCTACAGTAGTACGAAATATTTTACAGAAAATTCGGCTAGGGTCATGACGGACCCCAAGATATTATCACAGGGTTAAATTTCGTGGAGGTTGCATGTATCGTTGGTACCGCTCGGGAACCCATCACCGATGGAATTACCTTAAATTGGTAACAATTATGCTTTGTCTTTCTTCGGTCCATTAAAACGTCATGCTGACAAACATGCCAACTGCTGCGACATCCGTCAGGATGAGCATTCGTTACGTGTCCCATTGTTGGTCCGATTGAAAACATCGTTTCGTATTGTTTTGTCTTGGCGAAGTGGACCGTGGGAATACAGGAGAGTGAGCGGCACATAGTATTTCAGGGGAACTCGTGGTAACCGGCTCTCGGTAGCTTTTCTTACCGTCATTCATGATACGATGGCACGCCAATAGGATGATTGCCTGACGGCCAGTGCCTAAAGTGGATAAAGTCTTCTATAGTAATTTAACTCGAGCAGGGCACAGGGGTGCAGAGACTGGGCCCTTCGATGATCTCTCTTTTCCTTTTTTAATTCGCCAATGTAGATGGCAATATATTTGATTAGTCAAAAAGTTTTCTCTTTGTCTCGGCCTTATCATCCAGTTACACGTATAAGTATAGTCGTTTCGTTTTTTCTGCTAGACGCGAGGGTTATACTTCGAGGGAAACATCAATTTTTTATCGTCAATAACGTTAATACGCCGGTCAACGAATTCGTTAATTACATCGTCCGGTTCAATCTCACGCGTTTCTCTTTGGTAGGTCAATCAATGGGACACCATGTACTTACTGAAAGTGAATCGGTTAGTCAGTCGTAATTAAAGTGATAGAAACGAAGGTACCATTTTCTAATTATGTATATTTTCTACCTTACGGTCTTTATTATTTTCATCAAACGATGAGTTTTGTGATTGTAATGTAATTTTTTAATACTATTTTCCTGAAACTATTTTTTAGCAATTATGGAGACCAATGTATAGATTAACAAGAGAACGCATAAGAATGGAAAAGATTCAAGAGATGAAACGTCAATGAATATCGTCGAATAAATATTATTATATAATATTATATTATATAATATTATTAATATTATTATTATATAATTATTATATATATAATATTATAATTAATGTTTCAGAACTAATTGATCAGTTCGGAGTAACGCAGTATTGGCCGATAAAACAATCGAAACTCTCTACGCTATATTTATTTATGCTATAACCGGGATAAGCTGACGGAAATGCGATGTCTCTTCGTTACTGCAACACGCTCGAGGCGTGGGTCAAAAACCACTCGGCATCACCAAATAAATAGCCAATGATCCTAACTGGTTGTTAGAGAACCAGAATTCAGAGAACTTAAGAATTACGAGATAATATTCAGAATTATTAAAATGTTCAGGTCGCCGACGTTTCCCCGACAGCATTCGAGCCTAATTGCGGTGAAGATTGAAACCAGTGATGGATCGGCGGGGCTCACCCCGGAGTCGTTTCAGAAATGAAAAAATAACATTTAGAAGAAACTGTAAAATAGAAACCGTAATGATAACATATAACAGCAGTTGTCGAACTTGGTTCTTCATATCTGCGCTGCGGATTTTATGCGCGAAAGAAAACGTGGCGAAACTTACTGCATTATCTTCACCCTGTTCAGATGATCAAAAGGAAGAGTACATCTCTCGCTTCTCTTATCTCGCAATCAACTTGAAAAATATTTTCCATAAAAATCCGCACAGCAATCGTTCGACAGAGGTTGCGAATTCAATTAGTATTCTGACCAACCCGAATGACCAACCCTCCGTACGATTGGTATAAGATCATTTTCACACGGAGATTCGCGGCCTCTGTTCGGAACCGTTCGAAGAACCGAAACCGATATTATAATAGCCTCGAATCCTTGACGAAGACTCGGAGATCAGGCGACGACATCCCCTTGTTGATAGTTATCCTTAACCGTGAGTTTTATTACTTCCGTGAAGCTGTCAATGGTGGCCGATTATCCCCCTTCGCGTCTCTGCTACACCTTTTTTTCTAGTGTCTGGGGAGTGGAGGAGTGGGATGAGGCCGGGTTGGCTTGATTTCGCGGTCCCGCGCGACGTCCCTGAGATGGCTGTGGGCACTAACAGATTGACAGACGTACTCGCCGCGAACTGACCCCCTCGTAGTGATTTAGTTATCCCGCTATCGACGCCACGCCGAGTCGTATAGCGCTCCCTGTTAAGGGAAGGAACAGAGAAACCGGAGGACAGAACAGCAAAGTGTCGGCCGGAAGTGTTGGATCAGAAGGTAGCGCGCGGTTTCCGCTGAATGAACCTCTGCTGGTTCGGGATCGTCTCGGGGCGAGATATTATGATTAGGTGAGCATATTACTTGTTGTAATACTCGGTGAATCTCCGGTTGGCAGGAAGTTAAACGGGACTCGCTTTCTTCCGATTCTACTCGGCGACCTCGATTAGCGGTTCTCCGAGCCCCGATAATTGGGACCGTTCGCAGTCTTCAACGTTTTTCCCAGGTTTAGGGACATCTCTAAAATTGCGTGTATTAATGATAATAATATACATGTTGCCGAAGACGTCGAGGATTTTTAGTGGTCCTGCTTTGTTGGCTAGGTGTTGTTCAGATCTGTTCGATCGGTGAACGATGCTTTCGCAATGGAAAACGAGGGCGAAAGGTAACGAAGAATGGCATCCGGAAACTCTTGCCAACGTTGGTCCTTGGGCGATCTTTGATCGTGCTTAATTTCCGAAGTGTTTTTTCTAAGTATCGCGCGACACCGGTTTAGAGGATCGTCGCTTCGGGGTTAAAAGCTTGAGCGAACTACGCGTTCCAACCGTAGTCTTTCTAATAACACGTTAAATTGGAATGCTCGTGAAATTACGACCTTGATCTGTTAATGTGCGCGTAGGAATTCCGAATTATGAGAAATATACTGGTTTATTAGGAAATGTACGACATTAAGCGGCTCTTTATTTGCTAAATCATAAGCTTGAACAAGCTCTGTTAGACAGTCTTCTTGTGGCTTTAATAAACCTATTACCGCTGCCGGTTTGAGAAAGGACTTGCTCTATATCTTAATATTATTTTAGCGGCGAAGGAAGCACTTATCTCTGCTGTTTTCAACTATTTTCTAAATTGTCGTTTATTTCCTGCTTTGATACAAGCAATAGTTAATTTCTTTTTTTTTAATACGTCTTTTGATAGACAGTCTTTTATATTTTGACAATTTTCTCCGATAATTTCACTGTTTTTCTCGGTTCAGAAATATTTTCGTTCAATGATTTTTAGCGGTATCATATTTTATGGCACTTCTTTCATACGCTTTTGTGTGCTGCGGATTCGCAGAGTGGCATACATTGTATTAATTACATTAATTCGATCTACATTAATATTAGGAGGAGATGTTACACCAAAATTTCGAATATAACGGTGCCTTCGTTATCTTCGCTATGCTTATTTTTTTCATTGTTCTGGGTTCAACGATTGCGTAGTTTTTTCAGATGAAAATGATTTCAAGATCAATATCGTGCGCAAGAATACAGGATTTCAATCACATATTTGCTTATTTCAGGCAACGTTTAATATTATCCAGTGACATTTTATATTTCAGAAATACGGAGTTTATTAATTGATTGCCATTTTTACATTCTCCAGTTACGACGGTCGACTAGAAATCGTCAAACATGATATGGAGTTCGTTTACATACTTGTTATGTGACACGAACGTTTTTAGTGCAAGTTCGTTTTTTTATCATTGCAATTGTTTACGAAGATAACAGCATGTTTTCCGACGGGTTTCGCATGTATGCAATCTAAACATGATTCGTATCAATTCGTTGAAGAGTTATTGCCATCAAATTCCTATCTCGGATGGTTGGCAGTAACTATACTCTTTCCACTCGACGATCGCATGATGGGCAGCTAGGTGAATTACCGAGAATTTGCATTTATAATGTTGATTACTATCGCGACTTTAACCGCTGCGCGCCTTCGCGAGCGAAATTAATTCATAGTTTATGACTTTCCGGAATGCATGAAATTTACAGAATGCGTATTCGTGTGCAAAAAAAAAATTAGGATCAACCGAATCGAGTGTAACTAAAACACTAATTTTTCTGTGGAGACTTTTTTGTAAAAAGTCCACGCCAAATAATCCAGAGACGATCGACGAGCGAAAACACAATCTCGCAGCCGCCATTGTTGAATAATCCCGGTTACATGGAAGTATAATGAAAAATTAGGTCAAACGAGAGGGACACTTGAACGAACAATGTCCCATAATTGAATACCATAGACTGTAGACTTTACGTTGATGTTAAGATATCGGACAAATCTCAAATAATTTATACTTTCTTCGATCTGAAAATCATCCAAAATGACTGAATTTTGATGATTCTTGTACACAATAAGTTGAAACGAGTACAAAAAAGAAATTTTGTTCCTAGCTCGATGTTTGAACACGGGCATTTTTCTGATTCACAATAATAATTGATTGTTCCATTAGCTGTATCGGCAATAATCATAGAAGAACGTTAAAGTCAAATTGTACAGTTCAATAAAAATGATCGTGTCGAGTTTATTATGGAATATACTGTTCGATCATTTTTCTGTATTGTCTGTGCTACTAATACTGCCATATATATTCGTTTATGCTATTAGCATGAAATTAACAAGCCATTAGACGAGGGTGGCAGATTCGCTTCTCAACCGGTGTAAATGTTCAACAGGGTGCAGCAGATAAAACGATTTCGTCGTCAAATCAGCTTACAGAGTACGCTAATAAGCCTAGTATGATTTCGACCGGAAATAGATCGTACCAACCGTTCGTGACACGTACGGACACTCACGGTGGATGTAATCGTGTTTAAAGTAGTACTTTTTGATACTTGTCCGCTTCGGTGTTGCACATTGCGTACGAGTAACGTTCATCTAGCGAGCTGAAACGTTATTACTATTGGGCTGGCAACTAAGTAATTGCCGATTTCAGTTATAGACGTCTCTCACTCCCATTTTTATGATATTCGTGAATGTTATATTATAAAATTATTATTATTATTATTATGTTATTTTTTATTATCCGCGAATGTTAGCAACTGGACAAATTTAATGCAGCGGTTGAGGAAAAGCGACCAGAATTGGTCGATCGTAAAGGTGTCATTTTCCAGCAGAACAATGCTAGGCCGCACACGTCTTTGTCCACTCGGCAAAAACTGATGGATATTGGTTGGGAATCGATGTTACACCCACCATATAGCCCTGATCTCGCGCCATCGGATTACCACTTATTTCGATCCCTGGACAACTCCCTTTGTGGTAAAACTTTTAACGACGATGATGCTGTAAAATCTCACTTAACTCAGTTTTTGGCCGAAAAGGATCAGACTTTCTACGAG